GTCAATGCCCATCAGTGCCACCTGCCAGTGCTTCCTCATCAGTGCCACCTATCAGTGTCCATCAGTACAGCCTATCTCTGTGCCCATCAGTGCAGCCTCAATAGTGCACATCAGTGAAGGAGAAAAATCACTTATTTACAAAATTTTATAACAAAAACTAAGAAAAAACTTTTTTTCTCGAAATTTTCAGTGGTTTTTGGTTTGTTTAAGAAAAAATAAACCCAGAGGTGATTAAATACCACCAAAATAAACCTGTATCTGTCTTATCTATCTGTGGGCAGCACAGTGGCTAAATGGTTAGCACTTCTGCCTGGCAGTACTAGGGTCGTTGGTTCGAATCCCAGCCACGGCACCACCTGCCTGGAGTTTGCATGTTCTCCCTGTGCCTGCATGGGTTTCCTCCGGGTACTCCGGTTTCCTCCTACACTCCAAAGACATGCTGGTAGGTTAATTGGATCCTGTCTAAATTGGCCCTGATATGTGTATGTATGAATGTAAATTAGGGACCCTAGATTGTATGCCCCTTGAGGTTTAGGGACTGATGTGAATGCACAATATATATGTGTAAAGCGCTGCATAAATTGACGGCGCTATATAAGTACCTGAAATAAATAATAAATCTGTTACAAAAAAATGATAAAAATCTCATATGGATACAGTGTTGCATGACCGCGCAATTGTCATTCAAAGTGCAACAGCGCTGAAAGCTGGAAATTGGCCTGGGCAGGAAGGGGGTACAAGTGCCCTGTAGACTAGTGGTTATTAAACAATGAGTTTTGCACACAGCAGCATTGATCCTTGTCTTCTGTGGTCCACTGCCTGCGCTCCTGGCTCCTCTCTCCTTCTAAGTATCTCCCCAGCAAGCTGCTTGCTAGGGGGCTTACTCATGCTGACTTGCTTCCGAGCCCCACTGCCTGCGCTCCCTCATCATAGGATTTGATTGACAGCAGCAGGAAGGAGTAATAGCAAAATGCACTTTTCACTTGTGTAGACAAAAATCCTTGCATCCCTGACTTTGGGTTGGGGGTGGATAAAGGGGCAAAGAAGGACACTGCTCTGTGGAGCTGAAGGGGGGCCAGAAGGCACTACTGTGTGGCAAGGGGGGATTTAAAGGAGAGAAACTGATCTAGAGAGGGAACTGAGGACATTGATATAGAAATGGGATTGTAACATGAGGGGGGGGGGGGGGGCTATGATGTGAAAAATCAAACATGTGATTCAAACTTCTGCTTAAAGAATATTTTTATTAAATTCCATAATGGTATAAAATGAAAGTGTATGCTGTAGTCATAGATGTCATTAAACATGTGAGTGCATATTTGATAAGTCCTTTTTAAATCTGTATTGTTTATTACAATAATACCTAGTGATGCTGCCATGAAAGTCCTTGTTCAGGCACCTCTTGTTATTGCATCACAACTGTTTTCCAATAGTGCACCCCCATAGTCACCATCAGAAAACCAGTTCTGTGCAATGATGTGCAGCTTACATTGGAGTACGTGCATGTACAGTGAATGTGGCTGAAAGAGCACGATGGAGATCCGCATCACAGATCTAAAAAGATAAAAGGTGAATAACAATATTTTAAAGCACAAAATTTCAGTTGCTTGATACACTGTGCTTCTACAAACTCTGTTAGGGTTCATATCTACTTTACAGGCTGTTATAAAGCTGGTTGAAGCGGATCTTTGAGCTATGTATTTTCTAACCATTTTCTGCAGTGAATATATGTAACTTGTGAACTGTTCTTAATCCATTAGGCATTGAATGTCCAAGAGGTGCCAGAAATGCCCCTGGTGGAGTTCAGGAAGGTGAGCCATTCAGTGAGGAAGCTACAATGTACACCAAGGAACTAGTACTGCAACGAGAGGTAAGACAATCTTGCATTCCAGTCTGTATTTATATTTCAGCCATTCTTTTAGGGAATTTTAACTTGCCATATACATGTTTCATATGTGTTGCACAGCAATATGGCATCTATAATTTCTTAATTTGGTGTTGTGAGGTGCAATAGCTGATGTAAAAGCCCCTTTGTGCATGGAGCTAGAGTGACTCTTGCAGCCCTTATTGCAGACATCAAAGTGCAATGTGACAAGTTTAAACAGCTTGTGCATGCAAAAGTAAATATATTTTTCAGGAAAACACAGCAGACAAAGTTTTTGGTGGCAAGTTAGATGTGCAGTAATTTTGGTTCTTACTGTTGCTTCCTTCCTGTTCTGTGAACATATCTGTACTGCATCTGCATGACACGTGATCAGAATACCATCAGTTAAAGTGGCAGTGGGAAACTGGGGAAAAATGTGCAATATTTGTGATTTGTAAAGTGTGTCTCTAAACAAATACAGTATATGCCACTTGCAATATTACCATATCACTCTGATATGATTCGCTGAGCTGGGCGATCTTAGTGTGCATGTTTAACAAAAAAAAAAACCCAGATTCAAGGAGGGTTCGGTCAGGTATACTTTCTGCCAGCAGATGCACAAGTCTAATGTTTGTTCTAGGACTCTGTCTATGCTGTGATAAGATGCATTGTATGCCTATCAAAAAATATACCCTAACTACAGTGCTCCCTTACATCTGGTGCCCAGATCGGAGTACCCTCGTAAATTGGATGCCACCTTGCCTCGGGTTGGCTTACCCCCCTATTTTAGCTATATGTCTCTTCATTTGCAGTATGGCTCTGCAGCCAGTATTCTTCGTAAAGTAAGTCAGGTAGACAGAGGGCAGGAGCTGGAAAACGAAGCAGGGAGTGGGGCACGCACTTGGCATAATTGGTTGTTAGGACACTGGTGGCCTTAGCAATCAGTGACTGCTGTGGGGTGGGGAGTAGTTGGCATCCTGTTCTGGAGACTGGATATGTGATTGTTTGGCAGTCTGAGTCCAGACTGGTCTGCCATTAGTGAGGTGCCCTAAACAATTAGTGTGTGTAACCTGTGGGCTTCTGATACTTTCAGGCCCTTCCTGGTCTTGGCAGCCTCTGTTATGGTGGAAGAGAAGCCTGAATTTGGTGAATTGCAGATATATACAGTCAGGTCCATAAATATTGGGACATTGACACAGTTCTAACATTTTTGGCTCTATACACCACCACAATAGATTTGAAATGAAACAAACAAGATGTGCTTTAACTGCAGACTGTCAGCTTTAATTTGAGGGTATTTACATCCAAATCAGGTGAATGGTGTAGGAATTACAACAGTTTGCATATGTGCCTCCCACTTGTTAAGGGACCAAAAGTAATGGGACAATTGGCTTCTCAGCTGTTCCATGGCCAGGTGTGTCTTATTCCCTCATTAGTCCAATTACAATGAGCTGATAAAAGGTCCAGAGTTCATTTCAAGTGTGCTATTTGCATTTGGAATCTGTTGCTGTCAACTCTCAAGATGAGATACAAAGAGCTGTCACTATCAGTGAAGCAAGCCATTATTAGGCTGAAAAAACAAAACAAAAACTCATCAGAGAGATAGCAAAAACATTAGGCGTGGCCAAAACAACTCTTTGGAACATTCTTAAAAAGAAGGAACGCACCGGTGAGCTCAGCAACACCAAAAGACCCGGAAGACCACGGAAAACAACTGTGGTGGATGACCGAAGAATTCTTTCCCTGGTGAAGAAAACACCCTTCACAACACTTGGCCAGATCAAGAACCCTCTCCAGGAGGTAGGTGTATGTGTGTCAAAGTCAACAATCAAGAGAAGACTTCACCAGAGTGAATACAGAGGGTTCACCACAAGATGGAAACCATTGGTGAGCCTCAAAAACAGGAAGGCCAGTTCTGGAACAACATCCTATGGACAGATGAGACCAAGACCAACTTGTACCAGAGTGATGGGAAGAGAAGAGTATGGGGAAGGAAAGGAACTGCTCATGATTCTAAGCATACCACTTCATCAGTGAAGCATGGTGGTGGTAGTGTCATGGTGTGGGGGCATGTATGGCTGCCAATGGAACTGGTTCTCTTGTATTTATTGATGATGTGACTGCTGACAAAAGCAGCAGGATGAATTCTGAAGTGTTTTGGGCAATATTATCTGCTCATATTCAGCCATATGCTTCAGAACTCATTGGAAGCCGCTTCACAGTGCAGATGGACAATGACCCAAAGCATACTGCAAAAGCAACCAAAGAGTTTTTTAAGGGAAAGAAGAGGAATGTTATGCAATGGCAAAGTCAATCACCTGACCTGAATCCGATTGAGCATGCATTTCACTTGCTGAAGAAAAAACTGAAGGGAAAATGCCCCAAGAACAAGCAGGAACTGAAGACAGTTGCAGTAGAGGTCTGGTAGAGAAGGACCAATTCTCCTTCACGGAGAAATCAGATTCACTAGTTTATTATTTTCTTTTAATTCTTCAATCTTTCTTCTGATGCATATCCAAATCGGTGCAATGTTAGTAGAACCTTGGGAAACCCGTACCCCACACTGTGGGAATGGCCATGTTGCTTCAGGCACTGGGTCCTGCATGGGTGCTTACCTTGGCACTTGGTACAACACAATGAGTCAACCACAAGGTGCTATACAGGTCCATGGCCCATTGCTATGGAATCTAGTCTCTGAAGTCGCTATGTTTGTAATGTATTCACTTCACAGTGTAAACTTCTTAAACTTGACACTAAAATGAAACCACTTAAAGCTCTGTCTCAGTGGTTGCATCATACCACTGGTCACACACTTTAACACTACTCACACCTAGACACATTATATGGTACTCCACCTGCCCTTTCGATACAAGAATTTGTTCCAGGACGGTCTACACCGGTGTTACTGCATTCTCCTACGGGACCAACTTTACCCTATTTCCCACATTCTACTCTGTGAATATCCCATAGGGGGAATACCGTTACTTGTAGCTATAGTTCAGGAGAGGTTATGGAGATCAAGTAAAAGGGAGCCAATTCAAAACAGCAGGCAAATGTTTGCTCTGCTGAAAGCCCACGTTACACTTTTTTTTTTGTTTACAAACGATTTTATTTTTCAAGAAATAGACTGTAAAAT